GCTTTTTAACATAATCATCCTCTAGCTTTTGACCCACCTTTTGTCACGATTTCCCTAATGATGTATGATTTATATTTCCACTTGGAGCACTTTCATGTTTTTGACCAAAGTTTACTCGATGATGCACATTTACTGTCACATAGGTGTTTATTTAATTCTACATTTAATTTGTGCCTGTTTTTGTTACTTTTTAGTAATTGGGAACTTTTATTTAAAACGAATGAATTTGGAATATTTTCGGCATAAAATTATGAATTATAAAAGGTTTCCTTAACATTCTCACCATCTTGGCTGCGTAGCTCCATAAATTTAACCCCTCAATTTGAGATTTGTACATAAAACCCTACCTCATAAGTCCCCGACACCAAAAAAACACATTTTTATAGCCGTTAGCATATCTGGTCTATTTAGAATAACCTCAGTTAACTTTTTAGGTCGGTCCAAATCTTGACAGTGGGAAGGGTTATGGAGTGGCCACTCCCCCAGGTTCGGATCTTCGCGACAGACTAAATTTGGCGGTTCTCGAACTTAAGGAAATGGACTGGATTGCCCAACTCTACCGCCTCTGGTGGGAGGAAAGAGGGGAATGCGGGAAAATGGACAAATCTGCCGATGTAAGTGGAGGCTCTTGTCATTTCGGATATTTACACATGCAAACCGACGAGTGGGCCGGAAAGCTCAGGTTAAGATGATGTTTGAAATGATACAAACATTTTGACTTTTACAAGATTGATATGCGGGTATGCGTGGATCAAAATAGCTTTTCGATTACGGGTTTTTAGTTTTTAGACTCGTATCCTCAATAAATGAAGTACATAATTTTACATTGGAAAAAATTTGCCACTTAAAGGCGAAATTCTTCCACAAATTTACTTAAAATAGCAACAATACTGATTCGTTGTGATAGAAGAAACACTAGCACTTTGATGCACTGTGCAGGCTGTAAATATTCAAGTAGGAGATCGAACAGTTCACACAATGCCAAAAAAAATAGAAAAACAGTTTAAAGCAGCGGCTCCATGGCCAGGCGTTTTAATCAAGAACAAAAAGAGTCGGAGGCAGGCTGTTGCGGTTCCTTTGATTGTTAACATTTTTGATGGTGCAATTCGGACAAAGCTTCCCGTACTTAGATGTTTATGCTTCATGAATAAATGACCACTCCTTCCAATAAACCGCTTTTGATAATTTTCCTGTACCGATTTTAATTCCTTTTTTCCGCCTTTTAATATGTGGAGTAGCGGATTTTGTCTACTCACCCAGTCTTTTGAAAAATCAGACCCTTTTCCAAAATCCCCTTATCGTCTCCTTCGGCTGGGTGTGCCTAGAAAAACTTAAAAGTATTCGCCGTCGCCGAGTTAATTACATCTCCCACTGACACTGGATGGCTACTTTTCAAAGGTACCGTAGAACAACTAAGTGGCAAATTAATATCGCATCTTGACTCAGTCATGGCTACAGGGACTAAAATATTCTCCAATGGCTTGGGGAAAAGCTATCTTCTCATCAAAAGTGCTTGAACTTTTCGACATTACAAATGCTCTCGAGGGATTTTCATGCATCAACTTTATGTATAGGACCGGGAGGGTGTCCCGCGTCCTCACTGGATGGTCTCAGTGATGACGGTTGCAAATTGAGAACTGAGTTATCACAGTCAGGACTGTCAATGAAAACCCGACACCATTTAATCAAATGTCTTATCACTGAGCGTGCCATCAGAGTTCAGGTAGCGTGGCTTCATGGAAAGTGACTTCTCGTTCGAGTTTACATGCCGTTTTGCGTATGCACTCACCATCACCACTATCCACCACCTCATCATGAACAACGGTGTTAGGATTGAAACGGGCTGGACTAGCCAAGAATGGTAAAATTAAAATTTGGTGTTTAAATTAGGAACGCAGAGGTCACAAACAAACCGATTCATTCCACTACTCGGTCATCCAGCAGGAAGCTACATTGTCTGACGGCATTTTTTTTACTACGGTAATTTAGAAGACCTCGGCTACGAGTTCACTGGGATTGGACAGTGTTTACGGCCTCTTCTACCTTCTTGCTGGAGCCCTTGTGATTGGAATATTTCTGGCCATTTTAGAGTTTATCTACCGCTGCGCCGTAAATGCAAAACGAACCAGGGTGAGTTTATCCAATGCGGTTTTAATACTTATTTAGCAATTTGACAACTTTTAAGTACTTTTTTCCTTAATCAAAAAAAAAAAAATACAACGGTGCTTGGACAAACAGAGCAAGGTAGTCACTTTTGTTTTAAAATCTACCAATCTGTTTGGTTTAATCAATTGCCGCAAATTTGCTAGAGGTCACATCTCACACAAGGATAATAGAATCGGGGCGTTACACATTTGTGATGATGGGTATTACTTTGTGTTTAGTTTTTTGGGAAATAGATGAATTTGTGCAGAAAGAGGCTGACGGTTGGTGTTGTAGTGGAAAAGCCAAACATCTAGGCTGTTGATTTGCCCCAGAGTTAGACCCTGGTAGTGAAGTTGTTGGGTAAGGCTTGAAATTAAATAAACATATGATGTTACATAGTTTTTCAGTAAAAATGGCTTTTTAAGCAAGGGAAAAAGTAACAAAAAGAGAGCTAACTTTTGCCCTAATGAACGCACATTTTAGACTTCCAAATACTTGTGTTGCCGCACTGAAAGCAACCCACCTTTTTGCGTAAAAGCCTACCTTTGTTTCTTCACTTTCGCATCCTCATCGCTGCAAGGATGTGTTTGTAGTCAGTCAAGCATGAAAAGGACTACTGTGGACCATAATTTAGGTCTCCCTTCCAAATTTTCGACTGGTAGAGATGTTTTTCCAGACAGCAGAAAGCTACAAGTTTGTTCGATCACATACTGGTAGCCGGCGCACGAGCCTCGGCTGTAGTGAACATTCGGCCAGAGCGTGAAACGCCCGATCAACGCATAATCTGTCGTCGTGAGAGTGAATAAAAGACGATTTCTATCATTGCAAACAAAATCTCTTAAGAATTCTAAAAATTTTAATGATTAGTGCAGGTTTGGTACTAAGCTTGGCGATTATTTTTTTAATGGCTTAACTTATCTTAGATTTTCTGCTTTACCCAAGCCTAAGCCAGATTTTTTGTAAGGGTGGACGCAAGATAGGCACCTGATACTACGCAACAGTCGGAATGAAGGAACCCGAGTTTGCACGCCACAAATATGCAAGCCGTCCACCTCAAAACACCTACTTTTGTATCGGAGGAAAGGTAATGTACCTAGTTTGGAAAAAGGTCCTAATGGGAAGTATTCTTTCTTTCACAACGTAGTTTTTCCTTATTAATGTGATTTAAGGCTTGACGAAATCCCTGTAATCCAACTTCTTGCTCTCTGCTTGGGTAAGGAGTTTTCAAGCTACTACGTTATATACTTTCCTTTCGACTCACTTTAATTCATAGCGGGAAGAGACCCATTTAGGGCGGTTAGATGTCAGGAAACTCTGAAATCTAGGTTAACTCCAGATACCTTTCAGAAAAGGAAGTATTGCAAATTAGCCTAAATATCTAGCCTTCCAGATTGCCATATGGGACAAAGCCTCGAGTTGTCCAGTCTCGCGATGACTGTCATATGTGTCAAATTGCCCATGCGACAGGAATTGCGATAGACCAACAACAAAAGAGTTGACTTCAACTATAGCGACGCAATTGCTAGATCATGTTCCCTGTTAGCCACATTCAACGCCGTGACACGTATCCTTTACCACTTTAAATAAAGTCGTGTGTCAAAAACGAGTTAGTTGACCTAGAAACAATAACGCAGACGTAAATTTTTCCTGGAATGATAGTGCAACTGCTAGCAGAAGTTGAGTAGACAAAGAGGGCGCAAGGTTTGGCGTTACAAGCGAATAGCGAAGCAGCTTCGCTGTGGTAGACGATTTTTTCTCAGACAGTAAATGGCAAAAAAATTGTGAAACAAACAGTAAACTTCCGACTACGTACTAGTAATGAATTTGTCGTTTTAATAAGTATTTTACCAAATACTGCTTATGATTTAGAGACTTACTGTGACAGTTAGTGCAGTTTTGTCAAAAAGGCCAACACAAAGCACATCGACTTAAAGTTTTTTTAAAAAGGAAACCAATGGTCTTGTGGATGTTCAGTCTACAAAAAATTGCAGTCGATTTCGAGACTGCCAGGCCCCAGGTTTGACTACTTTATCTCGCAACACACACGCAATGAAGACGTTCCTAATTAAGTGGTATTTTGAGGCAAAACACTTTACCATTGTCAAGTAGGACTTTGTCCACTTTAATCTAAGAGGGTTAAGTGGAAATCGGCACTCTAGTTTGCCCTCAGAAGGAGCTGCTGAAGCTGGAGGAGACGCGAAGGCACACCAGTTGCATTAAATATTTACGGTGTGAATTGAATGTCTGCTTCCTGTTTTCCTGCAATTTTTCATTGATGTCACCAGTAAGGGTAACGACAAAAGCTTTTTTGATATTGCGACCGAAAGTTGGTGCATAACTCTTAAATCAGGTCAACAATTTTTTGCAGTAGAATAGTGTGAAAAGAAGGGTCCACATCAACGGCCGATCTCTGAGGCATTTTAGCAGACGATGCAGTCCACCGTTGATTACTTGTGTGGAGATAAAATTAACTAGAGGATAGGAATTCGGATCATGCCCAAGGCTGAAATGGCACAACTGAAAGTATTTTCAAAAATCATTTAATAAAGTGTACCGAGTGCCTTGCTGTCACTGGACTTGTAAATTTTATGGATGTTTGCTTGTCATCTTCAATTGAATTTCGCACAGAAAAACAAATCTGAGGACAACTCCTAAGTAATAGAATTTCCTTATACATTTTGACAAAGGCATAAATGTGTAACGTTTAACATGACTTTGCAGAGAATGTCTTGCGTGAAAGAGTATTAAGGTGGATGACATTAGCACTCGGCATCCTCTCCTATCCAAATCACTTTGGATGACCTCAACATCACAGTGAATATTAGACCATCTTAAGTGCGTCTTACGGCATACCAAACGATCCGCAGAATCTGAACGAGAGTGCCTTTCTCGAGACCATCTAGAATGCTCAGCATCAGTGTACAAAAGGAGGTAACTGACACTTTCACAACATCGATACAGAAACGCGTTGTTGATGTTGCAAGGATACACGGCAACCGTCCCTTCTATGTGAAATGCAGACTTATAGGTATCACATCAACAAAGCACTTTCACTTTGTTCTGCAGATGTGGACAAAGTAACAATTCGTTGATGGTTGCAAAAACTGGAGAAGTCGTGGTGGGAGTTAAGCTGATGCTATCATTCCACATGCATCAAGGGCAAAGGTCAGTGAACCTGAAGCACTATGCAGGTTTGCTATTTGCTGCTGCAAGCCTCCACCTTCTTTTTTAGGCATTAGCACCAAATAAACGATTGCAGAATCACGTGAGGTAGAAAAATAAAAGAGTTGGGAGCGAAGCTCGATAGGCTTTATTTTGTCAGCGGCTGGAGAACAAAGTAAAAGTGCTTTGTTGATGCGATACCTGTAAGTCTGTGTTTCACATAGAGGACACAGAGGCCGTGTGTCCTTACAACCTCACCAACACGTTTCTGTATCAATGTTGTGTAAGCATTCTAGATGGTCTCGCTGAAGGCATTCTCGTTCAGATTCTGCAGGTCATTCGGTATGCCGTAAGGCACATTTAAAATGGTCTAATATTCACTGTGATGTTGAGGTCATTCAAAGTGTTACGGATAGGGATGGATGCCGAGTGCTAATGTCAATTAGCAATGCAGTATGACAGGCGTTTGCGCATACTCGCATGGTACTCCAGTTGTGGGAAGTAAAAACGCCCGTTTTAAGTTTTTAACCTCTTTTGTTCTAACATCGTGTTGAGATTGGATTGCAATTCTTTTGCTTCATAATACAGTGGTAAATCACAAGTTTTTTGGCTGGCAAAGAGGAGTTTTGTTGGGCAGTGTAATAACATTTAATTTATTTTGCACTCCTTTCTTTGCCCGCGAGAATTCGACTAATCGGTGGAAGACGGTATAGTCGTTAAATACGTTCCTCTCTCATTCCTTCGAATGTGAGCCTATAGCTGCACATGAACAGGATCCCAAGCCAGCGTTTTACTATGTGACGATAATAAAGTAAAACGGGCCCTAAGATAGTCGCCCAATTCAAGTAGTGTGGTTACCCTTTTTACTTTGTCGATTTTACCTCTTCTAAATACCCCAGAATTGGTAGAGAGCCCTACCGCTGCTAACCTGCATGCAATTTGAGATGTGAGTATTTTGCTTGCGGCTCCATCCACCATAATCCAACGGTTTCGTTTCGGCTTAAGTATGCCCACCGCACAGTTTCACGACCATAATCTTTACAATAAAACTCTCCACTCCACCCTGGTTTATAAGGCACTCCCCTTTTATTTGCGGCCACGCCCTCATGTTAGTAGTTGTGATGTCTGCCGGTTTCAAGGCATTTTTGACCCCACAAAGAGCAGCCATATCAAACCGGACCACTTGAGTCCCTCAGACAGACGTAAAAAACAATTTCATGCAAATAAAAGTTCATACACTTCTTGCATTATCACGAGCTACAACCATTACACCCTGGAACATTACTGAGGCATAAGTATGCTACCGGTCGACTTTGAAGCCGTATGTCACCTAAAATGTCCCACGCCTGAGTGGTTGAGCATTCCATCACGGTACTGCAGTTGACTTTTTCTTTGGGCTCTGAGATTACGCCTTCATTTCCAAGACACTTTGCTCACTGTCCTCGTTATTGCTTTGAGCTAGTATTTGTGTGGGAGCACGGATTCTACCGAGATTCCAATTAGGATCAAGACCAAGAGATGAGGACATCGACAAGATGTCTGCAAGACTGGGAGTACGAGATGTGAGTACGTGGCGAATGATCGAGTATCCAAGGCGCGTAGTGGTTCCACCCCACCACATTTGAAGCGTCTATGCGCAATAATGCTAAGTCAGGTGGTGCTTAGTGATGTTTTTAGCGCATTCAAGAAAAACAAACTGACAAAAACTAAAAAAAGTCGGAACAAAAGCGCTATTTCTGGGATTTCAAACATCCTCAGCAATCGCCTGCCACACTCTCAGTGGCTTACGACGACCCATTAGGTAGTATTAATAGCCATAACGCTTGGTTTGGCATGGATACTCATGCAATAATGGAGTAGACAGGAGTCAGAACAAAATATCAGAAATGGTGTACCATAAAATCTAATTCATATTTACCTTAATTTTACACCTGATTCTTTGAATTTTACGAATTTCCCATAAAGTTGAGCTGTTTTCTTTTTTTAGAGGAGATTTACGGAGGTTTTCTACGAAATGCTATGCCAAGCAATAGGCAAGAGTGAACCACATCTAGGCATTCCCCTCATGTTGTATCAGCCATCCGTGGCGAAAAAGGCAGGACGTCTGGACTTTTATCAGGATGGGGAGGGCGAAGAGGTGGAGGAGGGAGAAGCGGGGGAAGAAGAAGGAGGCGATGGGGGGACTATGCTGTCACCACCGTCCCCACCACCACCATCACAAGGGAGCCGCATTGAGACCTCATACTTAAACACTGTGAAATGGAGGACACGACGAGACGCTGTACCGGAGAGGATTGATTACTGTCTTTAAACTTACCACGACCTCGTATATATGTGGATTCTATTAGTGTCGTTCCCTACGTGTTGTTCCTTCACACACTGGCTTGAATAAAACGTGCAGTCCAAGCAACCGACGTGCGGTGCATGACATAAACACATCAAAATGCGACTTTTATAAAAAGAGACAGATCAAAGTGTGAAGAGGTATTTGCGCGATTTTTGGAAAAAATCTCCCACTGTTTCACCGTCTAATTATCGGTTAAAATGGCAGCAAGTTATAATTTAGAAAGGCTATTTGATCATTTATTTGAAGTAAAATATTTTTGCTCGATATTTAGAAGTAAGATTATAGCAAATATAGGAATTCGCTTATGGGAATTAAGGTAAGCTTAATACCATTTATTTATGATATTTCGCATTTCTTCTTTTCTCTTCATTTTGCTCTTTGGTGGAGGGGGGATAAACAAGATAC